ACCGTACCTTGCTTCCGAATGTAATGACCTGCCGCAAGCTGAGAAGTGGCGGCTGCAGATCGTCAGGGAGATTGCTAAGAAAGTCGCACAAATACAAAATGGTGAGCCAGTGGTTGCCATTCAATCATGTGAATTTATCTAATACATCTTTTAGACTAAATTTGTTAATATCTATGCTATATAAGAAAACATTGTTTGGGTATACTTAAGTTTCTCCAAAGAGATTGATATCTTTATCACAGTGATTGTAAAATAAAATTTAAATTGTTCTAAACAAAAATCAACTTGGTCATGATGTGTCGTTAAATTATTTCGGTGTTCGACAATGTGAAATTTTTAGTAATTAATTAATATAAAAAATCGTCAATAAATCAGAAAATGGCAGACGAAAATACAGATATGGCTATAGTGGAACCTTCTAATTTGCAACTGTCAAGACAACCCAGCCCTGGATTTCACCCAGAGGTGCCTCCAACTATCGATACGTTGGAAACTATAGGAGCCATGGAAGCCGATATTCAACAATTGCCATCACCTCCACGTTCTGTTAAAAGTTATCAGTCACCAATTGCTATTGATAAACAACGTTCTTCACCAATTGGAACTACTCCAAACATTTCTTCGCCACCTCGGAGTCTCGGTTCCGTAGGCAAAACTTCGTTAAATTTGTCCATAAAAAGTGATAAAAAGAAAGAATCTAAAATTGAATTGAAAAAATCAGTAAGTCCAAGTGCTAAAAGTTTCACTTCTGGTAAAGGTAGAGAAGATATTATACAGACGATTATCGATCTCGAGCCCCAAGGAAAAGACATAAGTGACCATGTAGAAGAATTAACTGAATCCATCAAACAACTCACCAAAAATATCGAACAACCCAAATCGCCTAATTTGAACAATAATATCAATAAAATAGCAACCATGAGCAAAATGTTAACCAACGAAGCTAATGCATTGAGAGAATCTATAAAAAGTTTATCAGATGACATAAGTCGAACTAAAAAAGAATTCCTAGCAGCGAAAGACGAAGATGTAAATTTTCCCTATCATCTTTTTCTAATAGAATTAATAATAAACAAAATACACATGAAATGCGAATGCTTCGAATTTGATTACAACAATTTAGTTATAACGGCTAATTTTTTGGGAAAACAACCTATTGTTTTATACGATTCGTCGTATGGAAAAGTGGATGATTTCGCTCATCTGAATGTCGGTAAATCGGCTTTATTCGCAATGACTTATGATAAAATATGCAATATCAAGGAGTTTATTATAAACTTGAAAATAGTTAAGCATCCGCCATGTTCAAATTGCGTTACCAAAGTTGGTGAAACTCGAGCTGATTATACGAAGGATTTTATTGCACTCCGAGAGGAACTGTGCAAGAAATGGGCGAGTGAACAGCCGACTGACAATATAATCTGTACGACATCGACACCTATGAGCAAGAATATATTTTACGTTTGGTGTGGTGAAACGGAAAAGAGCGATTCTATAGGTGTCATCGAGATTTCAGCACGAATGTCTTTCCTTGGCAAAGAGATTACAACCGCATTCATAGCTTCACCCAAACAACAGGGCACATCGGTTCTGCAGAAAGACGACAATGGTATGACAATGTACTCTTGCCATAACGTCGAGTTGGATGGACAAGGCAAGGTACTTTTGGATGAGGATTCTCTCACTAGGAAGGAGATCCCTCGCAGCGCACACACAGTGTACAGTAGAAGAGCGGATAGTCCTGTTTCACAGTTTTCAAGCGCTTCCTCCAAACCATCAACAAAACATTATTATGGATACAAACATCAGACAGGTAAGTTTTGAAATATTTCTCATATTGTACACCCTAAAAGATAACTCAAATAGTAATTCTTGCGTATGAATGTATATTTTTCAGAAGGAATACCGAAATATGACGAAATTTTCACTAAGATGAATGCTAACGAATTAAAAATCAGAGTACCCAAAACAACGAAAGTAGAAAGAATGGGAAAATACGATAAAATACAGGAAATATGCTCATGTGAAGATACACCTTATAACACTGGAGAACAAATACAATTTGACTTGCCCAGAGATCTGTGTTATCCAGTCAAATCCAATAACTATTCTACTAATCTAAAATATACTTTCGGCGGCAAAGAAAGAAGCTGTGATGCGAGGGATCGAAAGATAATAAATGTAACTCCATCCAATTGCCCTGTTCCTGTCAATATGGAGAAAATGGATCATCCGCAAAAGGATGTCTTCATATTAAAAATTGGCAAGAAACTTGAAACAAAGGACAAAAAGACAGATCTCGAAATAGAACTGGTGACTCCAAAAGCACCCTTTCCTGCCGATACTAATAACCACATCTCTCAGCAATGCAGTTCTAATGAAATAAAGAAACCTTCAGATTCAAATAAAAAAGAAAAGGATAAAAATAAGAAAAAGAAAGATAAATCAAAGTCTGGCAAAGCTAAAAAGAAAAAGAAATGATGTAACACATAGTTCTTGTTACAGAATAAAAATAGTGATTTTTTGTTTTATTTCATTGTCTTTTCCTGTCTTGTATCCAGTTATGTCTACACCTAGCATTATGATCACAAGATTTTCTTCTGCTACGTGCTTAGTTAATAGTCAGCCCGAGTCTTGGTTACAGATTTATTAACAGAGGTTTTTATTACAGCCGGTTTAGGTGAATTTAGGATACGCGATTTGAACGATGAGATAAACAAATTGATGCGCGAGAAGCGTCACTGGGAGGTGCAGATCAAGTCGCTGGGTGGGCCGGATCATGCGCGCGTCGGACCACGCATGCTCGACCAAGACGGGAAAGAGGTACCAGGCAACAGAGGGTATAAGTATTTCGGAGCCGCTAAAGACCTACCAGGTACAACATTTTTAATACGCTGTGGATCAAATGAGTAAATTAACGATTTCCGAACGACTCTTTAAATTATTTCTTAAACTATTAGAAAGGTAATACACATAAACCATAAATATTTGTTTTTCTAATATGTTTTATTAGGCGTGCGTGAGCTATTCGAGCAGGAGCCGCCACCACCGGCACGACGCACGCGTGCAGACCTCATGCGCGATGTTGACGCAGACTACTATGGCTACCGCGACGACGACGACGGTCTCCTGCTGCCGCTGGAGAAGAACGCCGAAAAGCATGGTGAGTATACATTGAAACGTCATACAAATGTGTCTCATATTCATTTTCTTTTGACCTTCAATGATTAAGAGACATCTTTGCACCTACACTTTAAAATTTTACTAAAAAATGTTGTTTCTATAGCGATTGCACGGGCAGTGGAAGAATGGAAACGGAATAAAGAACAGAACAAAGATCAAGATTTACCTGAAGAGGAAAATATTTATCCAGAAGATGTGAGTACTCATAACAAACTAAAAGTCACCAATTCCTTGTAATTTTTATTTGACCAAACTCTTTTCTCTTAGCCTGATGACAAGAGGATAGAAGATGACGAGGAGATGCCAGAGAAACCCCCCGCCCCCACGCTGGTCGCGGTGCCCTCGCAGAAGGACATAGAGGAAGCGCTGCTCAGGCGGAAGAAGCAGGAACTTCTAGAACGATACGGCTGTCTAGATGTTAAATTAGAAAATAGCTGATATATGTTTAAATGTAATAAATAGTACATTTAAGTAACAACAACTTTTCATTTCAAACATTTGTTTTACTATCTGAACCTATTATCATGTCAAAGTAGTTGAGAAGAATGTTCAAAGCAAAAAAAAAACAACTATTGTTTAAATAATTTTTCACGACTTAAACCTTGTGTGGCAGAGAATTTAAATCACTATTAGTTTTTTAACTGCTTAATACAGAAATTAGACGATTTTGTTAAGGTTTTGTTACAAATCTTACTAATCTTAATAAAATAGTTTAGATGGATGGATGGATGTTTGTTCGAAAGTATCTTCGGAACGGCTCAACTGATCTCGCTAAATTTTGGCATATATGTAGAATATAGTCTGGAAGAATACATAGGCTACTTATAAAGTTTTTTTAATTCGTCGCGGGCGACATAATAAACAATAGCTATAAATAAAAGATAAATTAGTATGACATTATATATTTCTGAACAATTTCGTCATTCAACATATTCACAAAGCAAAATATACAGAAATTGATAAATTCGCCAAGTACAACTGCAAATCTTACGCGTTATTGTTACATAGTTCTATAATATAGAAGCGACTAATGGTTCTATACGCGAACTCACTGGCTTGTTTAAATATGCTATGACATTATATGCCTTAAGACATTGAAAACATATAATACCCTTTTTTATGATTTTTTTTATCTCTATTATGTAATCGAGTCTACTAATAATATAAATAAATTTTAATCATTATGTTTCTTGTCTATATGAATCAGTGCTGTTTAAATAAATCTAACGTAAACAAAATAATGTATTGTTAATGTACTTTTTTTTCTTATTGAGTAATCATAAAACTTAACACTGCAAAATATCTGAAAACATATTTCACGGTTTACCATTCACATATTAAGGACGTTTGATTAGGAAAGAAATAAAAAATGAAGTACTGGGAAAATAAAGTTGGAAATATCAAGTAAATAATGCTTAAATAATACCAGGGATGGCGAACCTTTACGTATTAAGGTGTTATTTATAGAAAGAAATATTAAATTAAATCGTAACCGTGAAATCATAGGGAACATTTTGTAAACTAACATTTTTCTGTAGTGCAAAATAACAGACACGTTTTGCCTAACTAGTGTGCGTGCCAGAGGCACGAATTCTTGCGCTCTCTCCCTTCCCTGGAAGGTAAGGTGAAGAGGATTTGACAGAGGAGAGGACGAATAGATAGGGGAAGTATCCTCATTCGGTGACCCCTCCGTCGTTTAACGTTAGGCAACATACGTATAAATGCGGTTGTCTATAGACAGCGGTCGGTTTGCTCGTTTGTCACGTGACCAAAAGTAACGCGTGCCATTGGTTTGCTATCCCTGGTAACATACTAAAATGACTACAAACGCGATATACATACAACTATATATTATTGCAATGATTAAAAGTACACATCAAGTGAGTATCAGATTACGTCCTACAATGTTAGGAATGTACAAACTTAACGATTTTATTATAAGCTCTCGAAGAACAGTAAATAAGTGATAAATGTACATAGCACTACGATGTTAATGAAGAAATTTTACGCAACGCCATGTTAATGGTGGGTTTCCACCAAACATGTTGCTATCTCTGTATTTCAAAGAGAATGAAAGGGTTAATAGTTTTATATAATAACTACTAAGAACTACTCGTGCATTTCAACTACAATCATCAAAATTCGTCGCATTCGAAATGTAGACGCGACCTTATTACAAAAGGGGAATATTTAAAAAGTCACTGGATGGATTCTTTGCAAATTAAAAATAATGGATTAAATATTTGTTTACCAGCACCTTGATTTTAATATGAGATATCGGAATTAAAAAAATTAAGTACTTTTTCAGACTCTTTTTGTTATGAACATTTTCTGATTATTATTTGATTAATTTTTATAAAGTTTAATATAGTGTTGCTAAAAGGCTATTTAATAAATCCAAATTAGATTTTAAAGGAATAAATATATATTTTTTAATTTATAAATAATTTTTCCTGGTTGTGACGTAACTGGTTGATGTAACATTTACCAATTAAAAATAATTCTAAATATAAAATGCACCAATATTCGCTTTTTATTCGTTAGAAAAAAATATAGAATAAAATTAGCATTAGTACATACTAAAAATATGCTGGAATAAAATAGAGTGCAATCTAGGAAATTCAATAATTAATATAATTAGCATAAATATGTACAATGTGGTACGGAAAATTGCTCAGAATTTTAAATAACATTTGAATATGCCTATATATCAGATTTATCATATCTATTCAACTAACCGTAGGTCTCTGAGAACGAAATAACCGTTTTAAACATATTGTTATCACTGTTTGGTCAAAGACAATGACAAAGATGACGATATGTTTTATACAGAGATTTTGGTCTTAGAAACCCATTGTAAATTGCCCAAATAAAAAAAAACAATCTATTATTGCACACTATATGCACCATGAGAAGCTACCAATATTTGCGTACGTAAAAACGTATGCGCAATGAGTGAACGAGACAGATGTATAAGAGAATGCTAAGTACGAAAGAGAAAGAGTTACAGAGCCAGTTCAAAGGTAATTCAAATAAGATTTTTATTTCATTCTATTTTTTTACTATTTCTTATATATGCTATTCATTGCATTCATTTATATAATATATCATCAAAATATACAATTGGAACAGTAATGGTACAAAACATTCGTTGCCAGACTAACCGTGGGTTTCTAAGACCAAAAATTATGTATAAAACATATAGTACTTCTGTCATTATCATTCATAGATAACAGCGTGTTTTAAACGGGGATTTCGGTCTCAGAAACCCACAGTAAAAAACTACAAAAAATTATATATTGAGTACCAATGATATTGAAAATTAAACAATTTACTTCATTTAAATGCTGTAAATTCGATTTAAACTATACTCTATTTTAACGACTCATACAAAATACTTAAAAAACTAACGTAGCAATATGACAACCCTACTTAAATTAATAAAGCCGGTTGTACACTAAATAATATTAAGCTTTAAATAACAATTATGCGATGTTTTTGCTGAGGGTATTATTGGAAGAGGTTTTGTTGTTTTGAGTCGTTCTCAAAGTCGCTCCATGCGTTGTTCAATTCCATGAATATCATCTTCGCTATGTTCTCATTAGATGTGCCCATTTGCTGTCAAATAAACAATTAGATTTTTTTAATACAGCTAGCTTTGTTACAGATGTAAAAACATACATTTTTGTGCTGAAACTAATAATTATGATGGGTTTTTGAGACCAAAATCCTCCTTTAAAACATATCATCACTGTTTTGTCAAAGATTTTGGTGTCAGAAACCAACGGTAACACGACTCCTGTTGTACGCCGTACAATTTGATATGGTGTGTATAAGGCTTAGAAATAGCAGTTGGGCTAGTGAAAAAGGACTTATGGTAATTAGGCTTATTATACGTAGGGAGTTGAGATTAAAGTGAACAAGGTTACCTTGTCAGGATGTACAGCGAGACAGGCCTTCCTGTAGTTCCTCTTGACGTCTGCGGCGGAGACCAGCTGAGACATGTCGCAGCGCGTCCAGCGGCACTCCTCCCACACCACCGTGTGCAGCGAACACAGCAGCGCACGGATGTTCGCCTTCTTACCCTCCGTCTGGTACACATTTACCAATTATATCAATGCTCATATCGTGGGTTTCTGAAGCCAAAATCTCTGTATAAAACATATCGTTATCACTGTCTTTTACCAGATAATAACATGTTTTAAACGGGGGTTTTGTCTCAGAAACCCAAGGATAAACGGTGTTTATAATTTAAATAGTAATATTTGGCTTTTGCTAGCATATCTGTATCCTTGTTAAAAAGTAAGCTGCAAGACGGCAGTCTTAGTACAAATAAATTTAAAATAACTTCTATTTTCCCAAAAATATTAAAAAATATCTTCAAGCATAGGAGCTAAGCGTATAACCTACAAATGTATATAATAAGCTATAAACTCAGCTATCGTATTAAAATTTTTAAAAATATGACGGATATTTTAATAATCTCACCCATTCATGTATCTTAAGTTTCTCCGGGTCCATTTCCTTGACCATTTCCTCTTTGCGCATTGCGTTGATAGTCTTGGGGCCGGTGTCCCGCTTCGTGGCGAAGTCGTAGCCCTGACTGCCGAGCAGCTCGCCGAATATGTCTGTGGACTTCTTACATTTATCTTCAGCTGGAGTCTTTGCTGTTTCGAAATGGGTCCGACTGGAACACGATGATACAAAATTTAAGACTAAACTTAACTTTATTTTATCACCTTTACTAAACCCAATTTGTGAAAACAAGCTATATGCTACTGAAAATACAGTTGAACTTGTTAATTTACAGAAAAGAAGTACAAAGAAAAACTTAAGCATTACTAATCACCTGTAATCCGGTTGATGAGCTGGTGACCTGGCCGGAGTGTGGGGCTGATGTGCGGGAGTGTGTGCGGGGGAACCCCGGGGAGTCAGCAGGGGCGTGCTGCCAGTCGGCCCCATCGCCCCCGAGGGTGGCATGGCCCCTGGAGGTGCCGCGGTCGTCGGAGGTGCCATGGCCCCTGGTGCCGATCCCGTAGATCCTATGGAACCCGTAGACTGCGTGGAATTGGCCGGCATGTTAGAGCCAAGCAGACTGAAGTCAGCGAACGGGTCCTTCCTTGTTGGCTGCGCTTGATCTAAGGGCACGCTTTGAGAACGCCCTGTCAAGTAACAATAAATTAATTTCAATATTATATTTTAATGTTTTTTACATCGTTGCATCATAGAAAGCTTAATTCCAGTATCTTTCATTATTACAGCTTATAAAAAAAAATTATGTAATAATGATAAATATTGTAGGTTCTTGCCTTCATCCTTGATCAACTGTGGTGTAAGCAGCGGCTCTTGCTTGGGCAGGGGGTCGTTAAGGCCGAATGGGTCAAAGTTCAGGGGGTCGCTGGAGTTGACGTTAGCGCGGGTGACGGGGGGATCAGAAGGCGCCGGTAGATCGCCGAAAATCGACTGCGG